AAGATATGGGGCTGATATATTAAATATTATTGTTATTACACCTATATCTTTACCTGGTCAAAAATTTAATCTAGAGCAATGTAAGGTAATATACCTGTCATTAGTAATTATTATTATTATCTAGGTTCAGACACAGTGTTTTGTGGTTTACTTTGCTCTTCAACTGGAGTAAATTTTTTGTTTTTACTTCAATAATAATAATGCAACAAGAAGAGGTAAAACCAGTCTACAAAGTATGATTGTTATCAACATTATCCTATTTAACATAAACAAGATAGTTTTTAAAGTGGAACTGTCACTCAGGGCCAGCCTTAGGCCTTTAGGTGATCTGTGATAAAAATCGTCACAGCGTCCCACCCTGGCCACTCCCTTCCCTGACTACTTCCCCTCATCCAATATCTCCCACTATTTATTACCTCCCATTCTAGGGGCTGCAATGTGTGTATATATGTGTACAGTGGTTGCATAGTGTGTTTTTATTTGGAGCTGCAATGTGTATGTTTATCTGGGCTGTAGTGCTTGTGTATAGGGGTACAGTGTGCGTGTGTATAAAGGTTATTATAGTGTGTGTAGAGTGGTCATAGTTTGGGTGTATAGGGGTATAGTGTGCGTATGTATAAAGGTTATTATCGAATGTGTGGAGTGGTCATAGTTTGTGCGTGTATAAAGGTTATTATAGTGTGTGTGGAGTGATCATAGTTTGGGTGTATAGGGGTATAGTGTGCATATAGGGAGGAAAGTGTATGTGTATAGGGGGTGCACTATGTATATAGTGATGTGTGAGTTTTATGACATAATGAGCAGTGGTGTATTTTGGTTTTGTGCTGCCCTAGGCATGACAAAACTCAGCGCCCCCCTCCCTTGCAAATTGCTCTTCCTGACAGACACACACCCTGACTGAGGCATTCACTGACAGATACACAGTCATTGTCACACACACAGTTTAACAAACACACACTTTCACTGAAACATACACATTCACAGACATACTCACTCATTCACAGTTACACACACTCACATTCAACGACAGACACACATACAAACTAACTGACAGACACGCATTTACTGGTAGACACATACACACTCACTGACAGATACGCACTGACAGAAATGCATACATACACACTGAGACACACATATACTCACTGACAGATACACACTGACAAATATACATACTCAGTGTCAGACACACACATACACTAGCTGACAGACACAAACTGACATCCATATACAAGTTGTGGAACTGCACTCAAAACCCTCCACCCTCGAATCCTTGGGTGCTGACCGGATCAGTCCAAGTACCAATGGACCAAGTGTAAAGTATAAATGTAGAAAGTAATCCAGGCACTTGACAAAGACCTTAAGGGGTCGAAACGTTGTGGTTTGGTTCTTGGGTCCCAAAAAATTGCCTATCTTTTGGAATACTTTGGAGTGCCTGGATTACTTTCTACATTTAGACACAAACTGACAGACATACACATTCACTGACACATGCATACACACACTGACACACACATACACACATACACACACTGACAAAGAACTTTCAGTGACAGATACACATATACACTGACAGACACATACACACACTGACACACGCATACACACACTGAAAAACACCCTCAGTGACAGATACACATATATACTGACAGACACATATACACTCTCACTGACAAACACACATACACACACACACTCTTTGATAGACACACACTCTCCCTAACACTCACTAACAGACACAAACTAACACACTAACACTTACTAACAGACACTCACAATTTTTTTTTTTTTACATTTCAATCCACCCAGCCTCCCTACCTTTTGGGAGTGCTAGAGTGGATTCTTCCCTGGGGTCCAGTGGGGTTGGCTCGGCAGGCACGGGTGGTCAGGCAGGCAGGCTCACATTGGAGGCGGGCAACAAGGGTGCTCTGATTCTACTGCTCAGCTCCCTCGTGCACCTCTTAGTGATCCCGGGGCCAGAGTGACGTCATACTTTGGCTCCGGCATCACTGCGGCATGCACGGACGAGCTGAGCAGTGGGGAGTGCTCTCTTGCTGCCCGCCTCCTACATCAGCGCATGCCAGTTTCGGGGGGGGGGGGGACTCTGAGGTGACCAACCACCTCCCAGGACAAGAGGCTGACAAGGCATTTGAAACCTAACTGAAATTGCCGACCAAGGCAAATGGCTTGTCAGCTTAGAGCTAAATACATCGCTGATAGTATGATATATGACATATGATAAGGTGGGTTTTATATAGCAGGGTGGGTATAATGACAAGGTGGGGATATATGGCAGGGTGGGTATTATGACATGGTGGTTTTTATATGTCATGTTGGGTAGTCTATGGCAGTGTGGGGTATATATGACAGGGTGGGTATTATGAGAATGTGGGGAATATATGGCAGGGTGTTTATTATGACAGGGTGGGTGTTATATGGCTGGTTAAGTATAATGACATGTTGGGTGTCATACGGCAGGTGGGTATTAGCTCACCCATTCAAGGGCTGCTCTGTTTCAGCCAGGATCTCTGTGCACTTCCTGCACCCTGTATCTCACTCTATGGGATAGTCCTGTATTCTGGTGGTCCAGCACTGGCTATAGCTTACATGTATTCCCTGGTGGTCTGGTGGTGATATCCGATCCCCTGCACCCCTTTATGATACACTCAATAATAAGCACTGCCTCGCGTTTCTGGTGCTACATGTTGAGTCAAAGTGCAGGCCCCCATCTGCGATCTGACTTGCTAACTGAGTGCCGAAGCCACAATGGAGAGAGTATTATTGAATGTATCAGCAGAACAGATCATCAGATAACTATATTGCCTATCCAGCAATACATTAAATAAAAATGAATTGCACTTTTCTTTTGGGGCATCAGTATCGTCTGATAATTTTCCTCCCTGCCAAGGGGTCCTAAGGTGGCACTGTTGTTGCGAGCTGTGTCGGCCACCGAACAATCTCTATGTCCTTGAATAAAACATTGAAATTCACCTGTAACTTCCGTTCTCCATTTTTTTTTTTAAATGTCCAATAAAAATTTAGTTAACTCGGTCCCTGATTGTAACCCACACGCCAAATGCATCCAGACAATTGAGACAGAATTCCTTAATTGGCTTTATTAAATATGAGATTTGCCACTGCTGTCTGATTTCAGTCATTTTCACGAAAAATGTAACAGTGATTTTTTTTTTTTTTTGCTGAAAGAGGATAAAGGCCAGTTATATGAAAACACAATATTTATCAAAGTGTTTTGAAAAGTGTCGGTTAAATCTCATTATAATTTTAATCCTATTAAAGTGATCCAAAAAGTTACTTTTTTTTTCCATAGCAAATTTTTCCAGAATGTGTGGCAGCAATATTCATAAATAATCCATTGTATCAGCGAACACATGGCCCGTACTCCAAAATAATTGATATATCAAGCCCAGTGTGTTGTCAGGCAATTGTAAGTGAATGGTGTAACATGAACAGAACAAAACAAAGCAAAATGTACTTTGATGGAACAATGATTTTACTACTGTGGCCTACATTGTGTGTCTATTCATAAACAAAGTAATTAGTTCATATACAACACAGGTTAATTGCAAAATTTGGATACAGAATAGTAATGATTAACCAATTAATCAGCCTTACTATATTCACAAATATCATAGCCAACAATACAGTCAATCAACACACATTAAGTAAATATAACCCAGATTTTCCTCTTCTTTAAAGAGGGGACTTTGTGGATCATATCTCCATCATGAACGCTTTGAAATAGTACAAGGCAAGTCATTGCAACACATGCTATCACTTTCACCACCATTCAAGGAAATGTTAATTGGAGATTCTGTTAATATGGAAGATGCTGAGAAAGATCAATAGTATTCACTGCTGGATTCATTATTTCACCGGGAGCAATTGTTTGTTGTCTTGTAAGTCAGTTTTCCGCTGTGCTTTCTAAAATGTAACCAAGCTTACTTTAATTTATTGTACTACAACACCCTGGGGTGATTTCCTTGTCATTTTGGTTTAGAATTATAAACGTTTCATTACAATGTAAAATGAAAAGGATTTAAAGGGTTTTGGAAAATGAATTGCTAAATACCATAAGTGGCAGGCTTAACCTTATTTAATTAGTGGTACAGTTGTGTTGTCAGATCCAGTTTGCCGACAACGTCTTCACTGTAAGCCCTTCTATCTTATGATTATATTTACAAAAATTTTGTTTTAAAAAAAAGAAAAGAAAAAATACCAACAGATTAATATATTATTAATATTGATATAATATTATAATGTTATCTATTCATTGCATGGAACATTTGAATGACTAAATCTGGTGTCTTTTCTATGTAGTGTTAGCCAATACTAATTGCTTTAGAAATGTATAAACCAGTGAAGAATAGCTGAAAAGTAAAACATGATGTTGATTCTTCTAATGATGCTATGAGTTATGTCGTAACCTTTTAATCAATATGTGCCTATGTTGTACCCTCAGGTGACACTTCAATACCTCATTGAGTTTTACGTGCATGCTTCAACTGACACTCATCTATATAAATATCCCCCAACTCTTTGCCCATTGCAATGCATGGTTCCTGGTTTGTCTCAGTTTTTTTTTTTTTATAATTCTTTATTTATAGTTTTTTGAGTAAATACCAGTATTGAAGGGAAGGGATACAGAAGAAAGAGAAGGGAGGTTGGGGTTGGGTTCTTACATTGTCTTCCATTCATGTGTGTACCATCGCAGGGTACTCTTTTAACCATGTTAATACAGTCGCATATACAGGTAGTTCGACCATGGGTTGTGGATTTTGTGAGCAATGTTCGGCGTGGTGCACCTTTATCGGTTAACTTTCTGTGTCTGCGTATGCCTATGTTTCATCCTCAGAAGGATGCAGTGGGGTGTGGCGAAGGTGGTCAGTTGTCTCAGTTTTTAAATACTAATTAAACTGATTTTTGGTTTCATGTCTATTATTATTATTAATATTATTATTATTTTATTATTTATATAGCGGCAGCAAATTCTGTAGCGCTGTACAATCGGTGGTCTAACAGACATGTAATTGTAACCAGACAACTGAACGTACAGAAAAAGAGGGGTTGGGGGCCCTGCTCCAATGAGCTTACATGCTAGAGGTTGTGGGGTATAGTCACACAAAGGGTATAAGTAGGGGTAAGGAAATAGGTTGTTAGAAAAGTAATCACTGAGAACTTATTAGGTTATTATTGACAGTTGCAGGAGAGGAGTCATGGTGGGGGGAGAGGGGAATGAAAACCCGCTAACAGTTTAAATGATATGCTTTCCTGAAGAAGTGCATTCAAAGATTTTTTGAAGGAGTGGAGACTGGGTGAAAGTCTAACGGAGAAGGGAAGGGAGTTCCACAGAAAAGGTGCAGCCCTGGAGAAGTCTTGGAGGCGAGCATCAGATGTGGGAGTACGGACAGAGGATAGACGTACCTCTTCGGCAGAGCACAGGGGCCTCAACGTGACATACTTGTGTGTTAGGGAGGACAGGTAGCTTGGAGCAGCATTATGTAGGGACTTGTAAGCAAGCACCAGAATTTTAAATTGAGCCCTATATCTAACTGGAAGTCAATGCAGGG